TTTGGCCCCCAAGCTCAATGATGCACTCTCACATGCAAAGCATCATGCAACACAAACCAACCAATGCCAAACAACCATATGTGCGACGTAGCATTGGCCACTGCAGTTGCCACTATACAACGCACTCACAGACCAGTAACACATCTACCGCCCTACGCTTAGCGCAGTTTTCCAGCGGCCGCGTAGCAAATGCTCGGCTCAACCATATGACGCCCCACCCTTTTTCAGCAAGCATATACCAAAGGAGCCGTTCAGTGGTGGCGGACGCTCTCGCGCCTAGCAAATGTACAGCTCAACAATATATGCCGACCTAAAAATACACTCGAGCGGATGCGAACGTCAGTGTCACTGGTCACGGCATGCCAGCTGATCTTCGCATCCTGCAACATCCATCTGATGGCGCCACTATATCGCGCTCCCTGCAGCATGCCTATGCAAAACAACATCCAGTCACACTGGAATATAACACGTATCGTCACCAGCCATGCAGGGTACGCAACACGCACCGGAGTGCATTCCCCCCCCGCCGCATACTCAAGCCTACATAACCAACAATCGATGCTGCAGAGGTGCGCACTGACTGGGCCATACTCCTACGTACACGAGACGCACTCGCTGCAATGTTTGAAGACTGCCGCGACGTTCTGCGCTTGGCCTCAGACCCAGTGATGCACTCGAAGATGCAAAGCATCATGTGTCACAAATCAACCAGTGCCAAACAACCATATGTGCGACGTAGCACTGGCCGTTGCAGTTGCCATTATATAATGCACCCACAGACCCGTATCACACGCACTTCCCTACACTAGCCCAGTTTTCCAGCGGACGCGTAGCAAATGATCGCATCAAACAACTGACGCCACACCCTTCTGCAACAGGCAAATGCAAAATGAGCACCTCAGTGGAAGTGGCGTTCGCATGCCTAGCAACTGTACCGCTCACCAATATATACACAGCCTGTGAATACACTCGGGCGAATGCCTACTTCAGTTTTGCTGCTCTAGGCAAGCACCCAATGGTTGGCGGTTGCACGTGTGCGTCGCAATAAGCCAATGAGACGCAGAGCATGTGAGAGTGGTCTTCGTCAGCCTGCCTTCGCTTGAAGTGTTGCTGGACGCCAAAGCCGTGAACTGCTGCCCTGCTGGCGGAATAAACAGTTCCCCGTCCAGGCGGGTGGACAGGTCAATACACCAGCAACGCAGGTATGCCCCTTCAGACCGTGGTTGCTTAGGAGCAGTGATGTGATGCCGCCACCTGACGCTAACACGTTTCACTGCCTACACGCGGCAGAGCTATGTTAGAGTTCTACAAGGTACGCTTGCCAAGCACCGAAGGAGGTTGAAGATCGCAGCAAGCCCAGCGCTGCCAATCTCGTTACCCGAAGCGAGATATGGTGCACGTTCTCGGCTGTCGACTTCATAAGCGACCATACGCACTGCGGGCGTCTTCCAACACACAAACAGGCACTGCACAATT